CGATGATACATCAAGAATGGTAAAAAGCCACAAGGGGAATAAACCATGTATGCTATAAATAATAATTCAAGAATGTTGATAATATTAAATAACGATAATGTCAATGACGATAATAATATTAATAATATTAATAATATTAATAATATTAATAATATTTAATACAATACAATAATATATACGTACAATATAATTCCGTAACAATTCAGCAACAATTTAGTAACAATTTAGTAACAATTTAGTAACAATTCAGTAACACTTTAGTAGCAATTCAGTAGCAATTTTGTAACAATTTAGTAACACTTTAGTAGCAATTCAGTAGCAATTTAGTAGCAATTCAGTAGCAATTCAGTAGCAATTTAGTAGCAATTTAGTAGCAATTTAGTAATAATTCAGTAACAGGTAACGATAATAATGATAACGATAATAATATCAATAATATCAATAATATGTAATACGTATAATTTAATAATAGTTCGATAAATGGTATAAGAATAATTCTATAATGATAATGATAATGATGATAATAAAGCTATAATAATGCTATAACTAGATTAACTAGAAATTTCGAGGCGGGAAAATGATGAAACAACAAAATGGGAAAAAATTCATAGATGTTTTTAATTTTAGAAATCCATCTATTAAAGATATAATTAGAGTCGTATGAAGATGTTTACTAATTGTTTATTCTCATGGCGATTTGTTTATCAAAACATTTTCCATTTTAATAAGTTTTTCATTCTACTTTAATCTTTGTGTGATACTCAAAGCCCCTGCCTTTTACAATTCAAATTTTTTTTTCATGATAAACATGTACCATAGCGGGAGCGGGAGGAATGTTCAAGGCAGGACCATTCAATTAATTAATTATGAACATCAAAAATTCAAAGAGAAAAAAAGTTATAAAAAAGTTCACACCTTTCTTTTCAACTTTTTTAATGCTTTCATGTTTGTTTGTTGATTCCTCACTTTAACGTAAAGTTTAAGTTTGTCAACAATCCTCAAAATTTTATACCATTATACCATCACACAAATAAGTTACTTTTATGGAGGGTAATAAGTCATCATACATATAATATTACCAAACATAAATTAATAATGTGCTGCAAATCAATTGACCATCTTTTGTCACCGCCACGTTCTTTTTCTATCCATCCACCCTGCATCATATATATCGATCTAACCAAAATGATGTCTTTCGTCGATTTTCCCTAAACGGATTTTATTATTATTTAAATGTTTTTACTTTCTTATTCAATTCCCTCAGCCTCAAAATAACCTCAGTCTTCCTCATATGTTCTCAGACATATTCATATGTACTCGTACGTATTAAAAATTATGTACATATTAAGTGGTGTATTAAATGATGTATTAAGTGGCGTATTAAATGATGTGTCTAAGTTAATATTGTATCAAATACAATATATTTTAAATATTGAATAATATTGGATAATATTGGAATAATATTGGAATAATATTGGAATAATATTGGATAATATTGGATAATATTGGATGTTAGATGATGCTGTATCAAGGTACAGTATAATACAAATGTATCAGATACATCAGATACATCAGATACATCAGTAGATACAGTATATGTAACCATATAGAGTAAATTCTGTGCACAATTCTCGATGGAACCGTCGTGTTACGATGTTGCGACAATTATTATTATTAATGTTAAGAAAGACTGTTACGAATATTTATAAATATTACAAAGATATCATTGTAATATTATTAAAATCATAAAGTAAGTCGTTATAAATCTTTTTATAAAAACAATGAAATCAAAAAAAAAGGTTCTTATCTCTTTATCAAAATTCCGCGATTATAAAGATAAAATTCCACGATTATAAAGATATAAAGATAAAGTTTAAATAAAGGCTTAAATAAAGGTTCATAATAATTCTTTTTTTAACAATGACCTTTCACAATATCTTCATCAAGCGATTGTAATCGGAAGCCTTTTTTTCTGCATATTTTAAAGTCAATAGAAAAAACAATGTAGGATATTAAACGCGATATACGGAAAATAATTCCGTGTACGATCGTGTGATCAATCGGTGGCAGACCCCGTTGAAACGCATTCAGTCAGCAAATGAAATTCAAACACCCCAGATGACGACAATGTTAATTAGTTCTTATCCCTCGATTTGATTTCTCAATTTGTATCGATTTCATATGATATGATTTAATGAATCCCATAAATGTATCAATTCTTGCATTTTTTTTTTTTTTATACGTATACGTACGTAGTAGATACCTGATACTTATTATTATTATTATTATTATTATTACTATTATTATTACTATTATTATTATTACTATTATTATTACTATTATTATTGCTACGTATTATTATTACTATTATTTTTACTATTATTATTACTATTATTATTGTTATTGTTTAGCGTTTGAAGTTTCGTAATCTGCCTTGTGCCCACCTGAACATATGTACCAAGTTTTACATTATTTATTTACTACCTTCGAAATGTTAATATTTTTAATGACTGACGTTTTATGAATGCTAGCCCCAAACGGCTTAACTTTTTACATCAGGCGAAATTTTCTATTACTCAAAAATACTAAATTTAGTCCAAGCCCCGACTTTTCAGGTTGTAACACGTGATCCCTTCATTCTCTCAAGAATATACTGTGTATATTTATATACATATATCGATACGATATGTAGTAATTAATTAAAAAGATATTATAGGTCGATAGACATATATATTACGACAGACATATGTTATATTTATTACATTATCTTATATTAATGTTAATAATAAATTAATATTACGATTATTAGTTTTTTTTTTTTTTTTTTTTTAGTTATAAATTTTCAGATTATAATAAATTAGTCATGATTTACCTAACCTATATATTATCTAATAGTTGACATAATATGTGTACATAATATTGTTTTTTTTGTACTTGTAGGATTATGTATCACCAAGCTGTCACTAAGGAATGTACAACGTTTTGTTCAAAAAACTAGTATTGGATAATAAAATTTTAGGTAAAGGATAATACATTAGGTGCTTCACTAAGACGGACGTACGATCATGTAAACATTTTCATCTCGAAAAATAAATGATCAAAATCATAACTATATCGTTTTTAAAATTCATTCTTAAAAAAAATCTCAGTTTTTCTACATACCTTTTATATTCTGAATATTCTATGTATTCTGAAATATTCTGAATCTCCTGAATATTTTGAATATTCTAAATACTAAATATTCTGATATTCTAAATATTCTAAATATTCTAAATATTCTATATTTTATATATTTTATCTATTCTATATATATTTTATATATTATATTTTTACATGTATATATTTGGCTGGTGTTTTCTAAATTTTAGGTTTTTTTCACACTTGGCATTCGCCGAAATACCGAAATATCCAATGTTTTTTTTTTTCAAAAAAAAATGTTAATTTATAATTTATACGGTTTTTTTCTAAGAAAATACCGATTGCTTTTTAAAATGTCAATGCAGTGCTATACGATTTCTCTGATAAGTGATAAGGCATATGCTCGCACTGAATTATCAAAAGCCTTTTATTTTTAATTTTTTTCCTATTGAATCTACTATCGAATCTATTATTGAACCTACTATTAATCTATTATTGAATCTACTATTGAATCTACTATTGAATCTATTATTGAATCTATTATTGAATCTATTCTATTTTTCTATTTTTTCTTTTTTTCGTTCGTGCCATACCCGAGCATTTTTTTCTTTGCCGTTAAAATATTGTATATAATGATAAGATTTACTTATTACATTTTTTTTTATTACATTTATATTACATTCATATTTATATTCATATTACATTCGGTGGGTCCAGTACGTTTTGTTCTTGTTTCAATATATTTTATACATAAAAAAAATAATAATAAATATATATGTATATGAATATATAATATGATTTATAACGTTTATATGTTATTATTTGACTAATCTCTTTTTTATTATCTCGAATTTTCGTAGAGTTGTTTTAAGTTTTGAAGACGTAGTATTATACCTTTCATATGATAGGTCAATACATTGCTGTTATACAATATAATTTTAATGTATCGGTTTGTAAAATTGTGTATACTCCTTATTTATTTAATTTATTTATATAATATATATATATTTGCCCTTTTTTTTCTGTTCTACCAATAAATTTAAAGTGATGATTGTATAAAAAAAATTATTCGTAGTATACAGTGTAAAAAAAAGCTATATAAATATATATAGTTGAATAATTTTTGTAAAAATTCTATAAAATCTTCATTCCCGTTAAAAAAAAAAATTTTTTTAATCTTCTTTTAGATTTCTTTTTTACCTTTCGCCGAAATATTATCAACTTTTGATAATATTAAAAAAAATAAAATTTTTCATCCATCTATTTATTTTAAACATATACATTTGTGGATTAGTGCTTTACAACTCACCCGCACGAAACCCTCAATAATAATAATACTAATACTGAAGAGCACAAGTGTCTCGAAAAGGTACTTTAAAATAAAAAGTTTTTCTTTTTCTTATTGTTCTTTTTTTATATTTTCTACGATTCTTTTATTGGCCTTTTTCTTCTTCTCTTCTTAAAAGTTACCTTTCCAACTTTCGAATTCTGCTTCGTTTTTTTTCGTTTGATCCACGTGATTCGAATTTATTTTAAATTTTTGATTCGAAATGGTTTTACACTCGCTCAATAAATTTTATTTCATTTTATCGTATTAGTATCTCTTCTTTTTTTCTTTTATCTTGCCGTTTTTTCGGATTTTTTTTATTTACCCGATCGATTTTTTTTTTATCCTTACATTTTTGACTTCGTTTTTTTTTCGGTTAATTTTATTATTCTATTTTTATTTAATATTCGCTAAATGATATTAATATTATTAAATAATAGTATTTTTTTTTCCGCAAGTTATTAATCTACTTTTTTCTGGTTTTTTTTTTCTCTTATTATTATGACCTTTTTTATGATTAAAGTTAATAATAACGATGCCGGCTACCTCACCTTCGGTGCGTTCACGACCTTCCATACATCTCCCGAATAAGGACGTACTAGGAAAACAGGTATGTATAAAAATATATCTAGGGGTGCCTTTAAGGGGGAAAAATTTAGATTAAAGTTAGGAAAAAAAAAATTGGGCATAAACTTAAAACTGCATGTGATTATACCTAGAGGCGCAGCATTAGGTCACGTTATAAGTAAATTGAATAGATAATAATTAAATATAGATTATATATATATATATATATATATAAAATAAAATAAAATAAAATATAAAAAATATATATATATACCATATACCATACGTACATATGTATGTATATGTATATTATATATCTATATATTAAAAAATAATCTGATATAACATGATAATAGTAGTAGTAGTAGTAGTAATAATAATAATAATTATATATATATAATGTTTTTTTTTTTGAATATCTTTTTTTTAATCATTGGTCTCTTCTTTGTATTCTTAGGGCGCATTTGTCACATCAAACCGAACTTACAATAGCATGTATAGCGCTCAGGCCACATTAGTAAAGGTGATTATTAATTTTTATTAATCATGATTTGTTTTTATAATTGTAATATAATAATTTCTAACATAAAAAAAAAAAAAAAAAAAAAATTTATCACCTTTTAAGGAGACATATCAAGGAATACAAAGTTCATCCGAGGCTAAAAAGAAGGTAATATTCATATAGTCAAGTATCACGGTATCAAGACCGCGCTACAATACAGTACGTTTAAGGTAAAAATTTTTCGATTGGAATATTCTCAACAAAATTTTATTAACACTCAATATGTTTTGGGTTTATTAGAATCCTCATCAGAGACCTACCACCCCTTTTGCTAAAAATCCAATAGAGAAGGCCGTCTCTAAAAAAATAATAAGAAAATCAAGAGATGATTCCCCTCCTGTTTCTCCCGTTCCTACTCTCAAGAGACCAGTTACTCCTCATGGTAGGCCTGTCACCCCAAGGGAAAAACAACCAACAAGTATTTTAAAATCAGATAAAAAAAAACAAGATACCATAAAACAATCCGGTTCTAAATCTTCTACCATAACACGATCTGCCTCTCCTCCTGCTCCGACCACTCATCATGCCTCCGCTCATGCTAATTCTCATCAAGCCACTGCTCATCGTCGTTCTCATGAACGTGTTCCTTCCCCTGATAAATCTTTATTAGAAGAAAACAAAAAATTAAAACGTCTCCTGGATGAGCGTGATGAAATGTTACATGAGAAAGAAATTGAATTACAAGAAGCTGCCGATATTATTAAAGCTTTATCCGATCGTCTTGAACAATCACAACGTGACAATTCTTTATTACGTGAACAATTAGCTTCTTCTGATTCAACTTCTAACCTACTGTCTGCAATTTCTAACAATTATCAACGTATTCGTGGTGATTCTCCTAATCCTCCTTCAACTTCTCCTTCTCCATCCCCTAATTTATCCCCATTTACTCCTTCTTCTAAACCTGACGTTCAACCTTCCCTTACCCAAAAATCCACTTCTCCTCCTTCCGTTGGTAAAACCACTAAAGTTAGAGATTCTGAAGTTGAAAATTGTGATGATTTAAAAGTTACTTCTCACTCAATACCAAAAATCATAGAACCTATTAGACCTCATTCTAGAACTTTAAATAAACCTATGAATCCTAATTTATCACCTTTTTCATCTAGACAGATAGGAATTGATGGTAAACGTGATCTTCAATACGCAAAAAGGGAAGCTGCCGTTAAAGATGTTATAATGGAAGATTCGGATGAAAGTGATACTGATGAATTCTTTGATCATAATAATGATAATATATCTACCAATCAAATCGATTCGGAAATCGAAATTGATGACGATGATGATGAAATCGGACTTCCACAAGGCAATTTGAATCTAGTTGGCCGTAATGCTAAACATGACCATGAAGTTCCAGCTTATATTAATGAAGATTATGATGATGAATTGACCAATGAAACTCAACATGCCTCGTCGAAATCTGATTTGGGTGCTATTGTTGAAGAGGAAGAAGAGGATGAAGAAGATGATGAATTTGATTTGGATGCTTCTCTTCCACACCATATTCGTCAAAGACCTTTTAATTCCTCGGTTCAATCTTCCGAAACTTTAAAAGAATCTGAAGTTTATAATAAACTCTCACCACGTCGTCTTCGTCGTTATCCAAATGAACCTTCTACCCATACTGTTGAACAGTCCAATTTTAACTCTACTGAAGGTTCTGGCAAAAATGGTCAATCGGTTTTGTCATCATCACAACAAATTCCTTTAAAAGTTAATGGTAATGTTTCAAATCCAACTCAACAACGCTCTCAACCTCGTTCAACTTTTTTATCACCAACATCCTATTCACATCTTCATCTTCATCCTCATCCTCATCGTGATTCTATGTCTTCTGTAACTTCCGACTCATCTGACGATTCTGGATTATCAAAAAATGATTCTTATTCATCTTCGGTCACTTCTTCATCTATTAACGACGACGACAATGGTTTATTAAAACAACAAATACCAGCCTCAAACCCTCAATCTCCATCTGTTCCAAAAGTAGTGGCCTCTTCTCCATCAAAATCAAAATTAAACGTTTTAAATGCCCTAAACAGCTCCTCTCGTACTAAAAACCCTGGTCTGGCCTCTAAACTTAACTCTGGTGCTTCCTCTTCTGATGATCGATGTCCAACACCTGTTCCTCAAAATCAATCAAATTCATCCGGTCGCAACGTTAATGATGGTTATACCCCTACTACTCGTCGTCTCTCCAGTTTTGTGGATTCTAATCGTTCTTCATCCCCATCTCCGGCTTTATCACATCAACGACCTTCTCCAAATTCTGGAAACCCCAAAAATGTTTTGTCCCGTCCAGTTAGTCAAATTGTTTCCGAATCAAAAAACAGGTCATCTTCACCACTTCTTAAACAAGTTACATCTATTCGCCAAACTTCTTCACCGGTCCCATCATCAAATCGTCCTTCAACTCCTGCTCGCCCTCAATCTCCTGCATTTACCACATCACGTACCCCTGTATCAAGTCAACCTCGACGTGTTCGTCCTAATGAAAATGTTGATCCTTCTATTCCACGTCCACCACCTCCATTGCCTTCACCAGCATCTGACGCTGATGTTGCAACCATCCAAAATTACCTTCGTCATTATCTCCGTTTAATTGCTAATTATAGCACAATGGATAACCCTCTTAAATATTATGATCTTAAAGGGGTTATCGATGAAGGTTCTTCTGCTAAAGTTCATACAGCGTATCCATTGAATTCTATTAAAGATGAAGTCGCTGTAAAGATAATTCCTCTTGCATATTCTTTGGAATTCATTTTTAATGAGATCTATGTTCTCAAACATCTCAAACATAAGAATATTGTTGAATATAAAGAAAGTTTCTTAAGATGGGATGGTGATATCCGAGAAGTATGGATTGCAATGGAAAAATGCGCTCGTGGTGATGTTACTAATCGTGCAGGAAAGATTACTCCCCGTGAAGTAAGTCGAATAACTGGAGAGGTAAGATTATCATTTTTTATTATTTATATTTTCGATCATTAATCACTTTAAAAATATTTATTCGAAATTTTTTAAATTAAAAACTTTTTTTTTTTTTACTTTCAGCTTTTGAAAGCTTTAAAACATTTACACGCTCATGGTGTAATCCATCGTGATATTAAACTCTCCAACATTTTGGCTACTGCTGAAAATGAAATTAAACTTGGTATGTATTTTTTCTAAATATCAAATGTATATTTCTGTGGGATTTAGTTGATTTTTTAATTTATAAAAAAAATTTTTTTTTCTAGCCGACTTTGGCATCTCCTCATTGACTCCAACATCGACCACTTCCGAGGTGGGCACAATTCCATATATGGCCCCCGATGTTATCCGCGTCGCCGCCGACCGTCCATATGATACCAAAGTAGACATCTGGTCTTTGGGTATCTGTGTTTTAGAACTTTTAACTGGCAAAGCTGCTTGGGGACGTGCCAGTGATATGGAAATCAGGGAAAAACTTCGAAATGGCGAGAAACCCTACGGATTTCATCGTTTACGTAGTAAAAAAGACGTTGAAATTGGTTGGGAAGCCATTGATTTCTTAAGTAAATGTTTCATTGAAAATTGTAAAGATAGGTGGTCTGCTGAGAAATTATTAGATGTATGTATTTTTTTACTATATTTATGTTATCAAAAGTTATTATTGAATTAATGACTAAATTAATATGTAATTTATTTTAATTTTAATAGCACCCTTTCATCAATAATCATCGTTATTAAATTGGCAATCGAAATTCAAACGAAATTGGCAAAATCTGGCAAAATCTGAATTTTTAATCTGATCGACTCAAAATCTGAACTATCGAAATCTGAATTCTCAAAAAAAATAAAATAAACACTTTTCACGATTATTCGCTCAAAAAAAAAAAAAAAAAAAAAAAAAAATTAAAAAAAATTTCCCTTTTTTCAAAACATCAATTTCTCTATGAGTGGTTCTTTATGACTGCGTCATAAATCCACAGAATACAATGACGGTCGCTTATTTCAATGAGGAGAAAAAAAGCTGCCACCATAACCCGGCATTTTTTTTTATCATTGTCCCCTTAGTCATCAAAATTTTATATACTATGGTGATTTTCGTTTTCATCCCCTATCGATTTTCCTTTCCCTTCCCCTTACGTTTTTTCTTTTCTATCACTAGATAGAACATATTATTCGATTATAGATAAGGATAAACCATTAAAAAAAAAAAAAAAAAAAAAAAAAAAAAGGAAAAAATACCAATTTTATTTTACATAGTTCAACTTAGATTTGATTATAATGAATGAAATTATTCAATGCCTTTTGTCTAAACTTGTTCTTTATTTGTTCTTTATATATTGGTACATGTCTGTATTTTTTACTTTTTTGCAAGCCTTTCACTCTTAACACGCATTCAACATACATACGCATCACACACACGCGACGTATAAGCATTATGCCATGTTCGCATAACTTATGCATCATACGTCTAAATACTCACACTTTATTAATCATGCGCACAAATCTCTATCTGGTCTTTCTTCACGCAAACGACAAACGAGGAACGACCGTAGTCAATCAACTTACTTTATACGGACCTCGGTTCTCCTTATTGTTGAATTAAGTCCTGCACTCTGACGCTATACGCAATAAAGATCTTTCACAAGCAAGTCATGTCACATAACATTTTTTGTTCAAAGCGCGGATGGATTATTTATTTTCCCGCGTATATTTCCTTTTTGCGACAAGTTTTTCTGTAATCATTTGGATCTTCCATTTATCATTTATTATTTCGGTTAGTATTAATATTATTGTTGTTTTCTTTTTTCCTTTTTTTTTAAAATTGTGTGCTGATAAATTTTTTTTACTATCCAATCACAGATCAAGTAAAACATCATGGAATCTATACATCATCTATATCTCCTAAAAGGACTTTATTCAAATGATGAATTTAAGACTTGTAGACGCGGTGGAAGTGTGATGTGGCTGATGCTCATGAACAATCGAATATTATAATTTCAATTTATTTGTCACGCTATGGCGTTTATGATGTGTATTCAGGATGCATCAATTATTTGTGTGAGGAAAGATGAGTGTTGGGTTTTGTGTATTATATTTTTATATATATATATTTTTTTTTAAGTTTTTTTTTCGTCGCATGTGGATATTTTTAAGAAAGTTTTTTTTTTGTGGGGAAGGGAAAAAAAAACTTTTTGCATGTAATTTTTCGCATTTTTTTTGCATTCATTTTTTTTTGTATTTCTTTTTCCTATCATAGGATATCAATTTTTCATCAGCATTTCTTTCAGGAATCATTTTCAATCATTTACAAGATCATTGCATTTTGTATATTTTTCAATCAATCAAAGAGTTTTTTTTAAAAAAAACCAAAGAATCAAAAGATTGTGTTCATCTTTTTGTTGCATATATCTAATTGTTAGAATTAGCGAACATTTTTTCGATTTCTATATGACTGGTTGATGTGGAAGTTGATAAAAATTAAAAAAAAATAACAAAAAAGGAAAAAACCAAAAAAAAAAAAAAAACTATACGAAAAACATAAGGAAAAAAATAAGAAAAGGAAAAAGAAATCAAAAAATTTGATGTGCAAGAGTTTTTTGTATGTAACCCATTATCTTAACTCACTTTCATTCATTCGTTAAATTAAAATTCAAATATCTGTTCGAATATAACATTTTTCTTTTGATCATAGATAAATATATCTGTAAAAAGTTCTTAGAGGCAAAATAGATATACAATTATATAGTTAAACATAAACGTTAGTATTCTTTTAATACATGTACTATTAGTTCGTTTATTATTTATTCACATATATTACTGTATCATAATAATGAAAAAAAGTATTTTATTTATTTAATATTTTTTTAACTGCCTAAAAAAAGTATTATTAATCTTAAAAATTAAAACTAATATTTAATTTCGAATCTTTAAATAATATAATTAATATATTTGATACATATAAAAAATATATAACTAATATCTTAGTTTTAATCTTGCTAACAATTAATAGTACAATCATTTCAACATTGCCTTAATACGTATGTACGCGTGCAAATGGTATTTTTTAACGTGAAAAATTACATAAAGATAACGATCATTAATAATAAATCTTGTTTATCGTCAATGATTGACGGATTTACTAAAAAACGCACAATAGATTTTGAAATCATAATTGTTATATTTCAAGTAATCAATGATGGTTTTGTGCTTTATGGCATGGTTTACTATCGCTTTTAACATGTTTTCAAATTCTTTTTTACAGGTTTTATATACAATACATGAAATTCAATAGAGTATATTTTAAATTTAGATATTATTAACATTAAAATTCAGATGTATATACGTATACGTACGTACAATTTAAAAAATTACCTAGTGCAAAATTTTAATATATATATTTTAAATATGATTTTTTAAAAATTTGGTGTATACGTATTAATTACCAAATGCGTCGATGATGTCTTTGCATCACATCTATTACATGTATGTTTTTATTATTATTTTTGGATTTTTTTTTTAAGATTTTGTATAAGCTTTTTATTCAAATTATTTAAATATATTGCAAAGTAGTCTAGTTATATCAAATATTTTGTATAAGCTTTTTATTTATTGCTTAAATATAGTGAAAGTAGTCTAGTTATCTCAAATATTTTAAATTAAACTTAAAATTGTAAAACCATTTATCTAGAAAATATCTACGTATATATATATATATTTAATAAGATTTAACAAACTATATATTTAGTTTAGTTCTTTGTAAGCTTTATTATAAAAGCCTAAAAATTAAATTAAAAATATATTTATATAAATTTTAGCTAATTAGATTGACTTTTTACTAAAACGCACCTATGGCGTTTTATATTTATGATATATTATCTACAAAACTTGCAAATTAATCGGTGTGAGATTTTCTAAGTCAAAATGTTTTATGTCCCAAAACTAACCTAAATCCTAACCCTAATATGAAAAATTTTGTGTTAAAGGTTTTATATACAAGATTTATAAAAACTTAAAAATAATAAAAAATATATAATAGATATAAATAGCATAGATATATTTTATAATTACTGATTAGATTTAGTTTTATAATAATTAGCAAAATTTTTAGTACTATTTTATACAACTAGACTGTTTGTATTATATTATAATATACTATATCTAGTTATTAATAAAAAAATAAAATAAATCTAAACTGTGTCTTATGTATTTTTTGCCTTATAGCAAAATTGAGCTTGCAAAAAAAATTAGATTAAGGTTAGAATTAGAGTTAAAGTTAAGTAAAATTATAAGAGAAATATTTTTTTGCTTATATTATATGACAGTATTATCTAGTTAAAATTTTAAAATATTAGCAATTTTGTAGTAAAAAGCACAAATTATATAGAATACTAACTAGTTGTTTTTTAAAAAATATATTAATTTGTACTAGATTTAAATACAAATTTTGTAATTAATAAAATTTTTTAAAATTTATTATAAAGAAATTTTATATTGGTCAGCAAAGATCTTTTTGGATTTTTAACAGCAGCTCTATCTTGTTTTGTTTAGTGCATTGAAAGTGTATTGAAATGTAGTGATAGTTTCTTTCAGGTTTTAGTATAGATTTTTATTCCTTAGTATTAATATTTATTTTTTTGATGTATTAGTTTTTGTTTTATCCTTTTTTTGGTTTTTAATTTTTTTTTTCTTTTTTTTTTCTCTACGAGAAAGTGTTATCAGATTAGTAGCATTTTATTGTAGAATGAGAATCTTGACGGAGTGGGCAATATTCAACTAAAGAATTTAGGAGAAATAAGTCTAAAATAAGTTTTGGATCTCTGGAGGAGGCCAATCATTGTCTAGGCAGATCACATATAAGTATAATATAGTAGTTTAATAGTTTGTCCTAACTGCACATGAATATTATAGTATCTGCAAAGTAAAACTGATTAAGTTTATATTCTGGTCAGAACATTATAGAAGTAGATTTCTGCACTTACCATATAAAAATAAAGTTTTGCTTCCATAAAAAATACACAGAATTGCCAAAGAAAAAAAAATAAGTTATTATTTTAATTTTATTTTTTAAATTATAGTAAAACAAATTTGTTTGCAACTTTGTACTTTTTTAGCTTTAATTTACTTTTTTAAAATACTAAAATAATTAAATAAAACTTTATACAATTATATTTGAAAATAAAAATTACTTTTTTGTAATATTTATTTTTAAATTATAAGAAAAATTTTTAGATTATTTATAAATCAAAAAGATATAATTTTAAAAATAATTTTTTAAAAAATTTTTTAGTTTATCTATAATTAACTTTTTAAATATTAATTTTAGACTTATCTTTTAAACTTTTTTCAGACAATTTGATTAGAATTTTTAAATTATTTAATAAATATTATTGTAACACCAAATTATAATAAATAAAACAACTCTTTCCGTTGATGATCAAAACACAAATTTTTCAAAACACAAAATTATTAAAAACTTCAAAAGACACAAAAAGCTACTAGGAAACAAATCTCAGAGCTCTAAGAAAAGAAAAAGAAAACTACAAGAAACACCCAGTCTCTTAGAAGACTTGAGTAAAAGAAACAGAAGTAGCAAAGAAATAAAAGAAGTCATGAAACATCGTCGATTTTTTTTTGCACTTTGCGAATTTTTGAAGAATTGGCCTTGATCCTGAATTGCAGATCTGTTTTGGTAGTACAAGAATCACAATGCATAATAAAAAATAAACAAAGAAAACACATCAAAAACTACATAACAAAACTAAGCAATGGAGATAAACAATCGCAACAAGTAGTAACAACAAACAATGATAACCAAAAAATAACAAGTCACGTGAAGCAGAAGTTAGTACAAGTTGCTGGAAAAAGACCTGTTACAAAAAAAGAGTTATTAGAAGCTATCCAGGACATAACAATAGCAATAATTGATGAAATGATAAACATGCAAGTAGAACAGACAATGATAGAATATACTAGACAACAACTTCTCCCAAAAGAAGTAGCTGAAACACAAATAGAAAAACTTTTTGAAGAATTTCGAAGTGAGAATTAGAGTATACTGAACTTGTATTTATAAAAAGAGACCATGAATATTTTCATGAAGCAATACAAAAAGGAGAAGATCCAGTCATTAAAATTATAAAAGAAAAGATAGTTAGTATTATAATAGAATTAAGGATAGGTGACAGATTAAGAAGATTACTAGAAGATAGGAAAAGACAAGATGCTGAAATAAGGTCAAAATTAGAATTAGGATAGAGAAAAAAACTTCAAGAACAAACGAAAAATCAACAAAAACAGCATAATAAAACAGCTTTGAAGTCTAAAATACAACAATTCAAAGAATCTATCAAGACTATTACAGCAAATCAACAAGAAATTAAAAGAAAAGCCAAAAAAGAAAAGAAGAAGTTAAATCTAGATTGGAGTAAAAAACTTCAAGAATAAAGAAAAACTTGACAAAAGCAGCAGAACCAAAAAGTACTAAAAACTCTAATATTACAGTTTAAAATATCTGTTGAATCTATAGCATTTAGATGAGAAAAAGAAAAAAGAAAAATTAGAAAAGAAAAGGAAAAAAGAAGCAAAAGACAAGACATTTTAGATCTTACAGAAACAAA